GTGAGATTTTTGGGTGTTTTGGACTTGAATTTGGACTTGGTGTTAAAAATCCCATCAGGGATTATTTTTGGTACAGGGTTGTACCCGCGGGCGGAACGGCGGGCAGTGGACTACCCGCCGCCCCACCCGCGGGGTACAGGCCTCTCAGGTGTTGCTACCCGCGGGCGGAACCACGGGTGGAGGTCCACCCGTGGCCCCACCCGTGGGGTACAATGTTGTTGATTGTTGGGAATTTGTTCCCCGTGATTCTTTTGACTCGGTAATTGATGTTTTGACTTCACGATGTTGTTTTGTTGGGCTATTTGAGAGTCTTCTTGATGCTTCGTATGTCTAGAACGATATGTTAGGAATCCATGTAGGATTTGATGTCTTGAATCGTGCTAAGTGTTCAACTTTGTGATTCGTTGAACTATGATGAGTCTTGTATGTTCTTCGGAACTATGTTTGGTTTACCGGTTTGATAAGCATGCTAGTTTGATGTTGAAATGCTAGTGTGTGCGGTTTGTTCTTCCCTTTTGAGAATGACAACTTGTGTTGATCATCGTTTGGAGTCGGATTGTAATCCTTCCTTGTTGAGTATGGTTTCATATCTTTGTTGTGATCCATTGATTGATTCTTGTGATGAAAGTGTGTGTATTAGTTGTACCTTGATTGCACGGTTAATGGTATGGGACATTAATCACCAAGGTACAGATGTGGTCCTCGTGGTGGCCTTGAAATGATATTGGAGTTGTAATCTGGGCTTCAGGCTCATAATCTGGGCTTCAGGCTCATGTGTTGCCGGTTGTGTGATTGAAATGAACCATACCCTCGTGTATTGCGAGATCGGTGGAAATGTTGGCGGTTGTTGGAGGGGGAGCGACGGTTCCCGGAGGCATAAGGTTGGACTCAGAAGTACAGGGGTTCTCAGAGGTAATGGTTGGAACTGTAATAAGGCCGGGGGTAGCCATAAGGTTGGAACATGACATAAGGTTGGAACATGTGACAAGTAGTGTCACGGTGGCATGTAGTGCCAATGTGTGAATGTCTATCCTTTTCTGATGAGCATGTCGAGTGGTATTCTACTTTGTGATCAGTAGAATACACCTCGAGTTGTACTTGTTTATTGTTGTTGTCTTTGCCTTGATGTTCTCCTACTTTGTGATCAGTAGATTACATCTTGAGCTGTGTTGAGTGGTACTGTTGTTGTTCTTGTGTTGATGTTGTCTTGGGATGTTGATTTCCCTTTGTTCTTTGAGAGTAATTAGAGTCTTTGCAGTTGACTACTCTCTATGACTTTTGAACTGATATATACTGTACTCCGTTTCGAAAATGGTTTTGTATCATACTATCTATATATTATACTTAACGCGTATTGATGGGTTACCAGCAATATTCGCTGACCGGGCGTCGTCCCCTTTCTTTATGTGCTTTACAGGTCCTGAGTAGATATGGCGAGTGCGCTAGTTGTTGGTAGTAGTGTAGCTCCCTTGAACATCGTAGATAGTGTTTTGGGCTTGTGTGCCATGGTTATGTTAAACAAGATAGATTGTTGGTTTTAGACTTGTCTGTGCATCCACGTTGAGGTGGATGTGGCATAGCACTTCCTAGTTTTTCCCGTTTTAAACTAAGACTTCCGCTGTTGCTTACGTTTTATGATACCTGTTAGTTGCTTTGCCTTACGTATTTAAGTTTTAAAAATGTCATGAAAATCAGGGGTGTTACACAAGCGAAGGTTATTTGTGAGCTTCATTACCTTGAAACTGTTCCACACATAGAAAGAATTGATAGCTGTAGACACTATATCTTGTCTAGTACCTTTGGGGACTACGGGTAGATTTTGACGGAAGTCCCCACCTAGATCTACTGTTTTACCTCCAAAAGTCTTGTTGGAACTGTTAGGATCTACAAACCGCAACAAATCTCTCATGGTCCGATCTAGAGCTTCAAAGCAATAATACTTGTGTATCATCGGGGCTTCATCCCAAATTATTAAACTTGTTTGTATCAATAAATCAGCTAACCGGCTCCCTTGTTTAATGTTACATGTTGAGTCTTCATTTATTGCTATTGGTATTGAGAACCTTGAGTGTGCAGTTCGTCCACCAGGCAACAACAACGAAGCTATATCAGTTGATGCGACATTTAAAACAATTTGGCATTTAGAGCGTAGTGTAGATGACAACGCTCACCACATGAATGTTTTTCCGGTGCCACCATACCCACATACAAAAAAAATCCACCCAGCTTGCTTGAAATATCTTGTAAAACAGTGTCATAAATCGATATCTGCTCATCCGTCAATTTATCACACAACTCTTGAGCTTCTTGTTGCAAAAACTCACGATCATAAGATAACTCTTCAAACATCAATCGATTCTGAACCAATCTAGAGTTAACCACATCTGGAATGGGCATCGGGTGGTAGTCCTTTAAAGATCTGTTTTGTTGTTCCAACAATTTCTCCAACTCAATTAGCCCAAAGTTTGCTTCTCTTCGTCAGTTAGACACAAATCTATTTTAATTTCATAAAAAAAAAGTCAAAGTTGAATCATTCCATTTGGATAAGAGTATATGTATAATAATTTAAACCTGGTTGTTGTAGTATTCTTCTTTGAGAATATTGAGCATCCTCACACAAATGTCGTCATATCTCATTCCAAACATATTCTCATCTAATCATGGAACTCGAAGTTAATAGCACTACAAACAACTTCCTCATTGAATGAGCAGTAGACCAAAAACTTGCTTCTACTATAGCATTAATGTACTCTTTATCATCATCCAACAGACCGTGAGCATAACATGCATCCCTAAATGTACTATACTCAACTCCATTATGTGTCCTAATATCTTTAAAACTTGAAGGACCACACACTTTGTTCAATAAGCACCATAAATAATACAGTTCACCTGATGCTGGTGGAACATAGAATATGCGACCAATGGAGAAACCCTTCTTTCTTGGATGCTATTCACGAATGTCCTTTTTCCAAACAAATTTTGTAGGCATCTCAATGTAACTTAACTCTCTGGCTTCTGGATATTTTTTATTTGCTACAAACCATGCATTGAACATAATTTGTGAAATAGTTTCCCTATTTAAAACACAATCAATGCTATCATCGTCTTGGAAAACAACAAATTGACAATCCGGTAGGTAAAAGCTTAGCCTCTTAACTGGTGGGGTTCTATATTGTACCTCGAAACTAAATAAGCGCCACATTGCTTCACAAGCTGAAATGTATCGGCAATCATAGTACATGTTTATTTCGTCCACAACTTCATTACCGATATCATCCACCGTGGTCTTATAAAACTCAGTTGTGACACGGTCATTACCTTTGTTGACGTACTTGAACAAATACTTGATTGACCGTGATTGGTTGCACCATTCAACGTTAATGTGAGCTTTGTACTTCAATAGCAAATATCAATTATGATGTACAATATACCTGTTATCCAGCTCTAATTGTTATTTATATGTTTATCTGTCTGTTATGCCTTGTATTGTGTTCTTAGGATGCATGTTAGCCTTTATGATTATTCTATATTGTTGAGTTTGTTAATGTGCCTTGAGTCTTGATCTTGGATTTAAACTAGAGTCTCATAAGTATATATGTATTCCAGTTTCAAAATGAGTTTCTTATATCTACCTATATTGTACTTAACGCGTTAGAGTGGGTTACCAGCATTATTCGCTGACGGTTGTTACATCGAATGTTTTTTAGGGACAGTTGAGTAGCTTCGGAGCACGCTAGTTGGATTCGTGGACATAGTTTTGGTAGTTCTAGCTTTGATGAGACGGCCTGCGTGCCTTGGTTTGTATTGGGGTATTAATTATGGTTTATGCTTTGTTAGTTAGTTTAGCCTGTGCATCTGAGCTCTCTAGCTCAGATGTGGAATAGCACCCCGACTACTATTCTTAGTTTATGCCCTGTTTGGGAATTAATAATAGATTTGCCTTTATTTTATAGGCTTTGAATATCTTAAAATTTTAGGGGTGTTACACCAACTATAGAAGTCGAGGAGGCAAGGGTAATCTGCCTAGGCGAAAAATTAAAACAAAAGAAGATAATTTGAAAAATAAAAATGAAACTCTTAGAAACATAGCCACAAACATTATTTTTTTTTAGTACGGTAGTACTAGTACTGACTCTGTTCATAACTACTTCTACTGAAGCACAAAGAGTCAATACTGCCCCCACTGTTAAAACAAAAGAAGATAATTTGAAAAATAAAAATGAAACTCTTAGAAACATAGCCACAAACATTATTTTTTTTTAGTACGGTAGTACTAGTACTGACTCTGTTCATAACTACTTCTACTGAAGCACAAAGAGTCAATACTGCCCCCACTGAAGATCGAACCCAAAACCTCCCATATAAGAGAACAACTTGGTGTCACTAGACCACAAGGTCTTTGGCCGTCACAAACATTATTAGATATGATCAAAAAATAAAAACACATCAAAACTTTATAAAAAAAATATTCTTAAAACAATGAGGATAGACCATTTGAACCTTGTGTTCATATTCATATACACCTAATCCTCATCCGTATTCCCTTCCTAGCTAGGAGATTACTCGCACATGATTACTATAAAAACAAGCATATAATCAAAGAGAAAATAGAATTCCATAACAATAACCAATGAATAAAAGTAGTAAAGCAACAAACCGCATTTGAACCTTGTGTTCATATTCATATACACCTAATCCTCATCCGAATTCCCTTCCTATCTAGGAGATTACTCGCACATGATTACTATAAAAACAAGCATATAATCAAAGACAAAATAGAATTCCATAACAATAACCAACGAATAAAAGTAGTAAAGCAACAACTAGCAAATCACAATGAAATTAAAGATACTCAAATTTGAAAGAAAAAAAAAAAAGATGGTAACCTACAAGTTGCGCATTTAAAATTGACATTGTGACCAATTTTGCTGATTCGTCATCAGACACATAGTGTCCACTATTAATAAAGATAAAAGTAACTACTATTATTATTCTTCTTAATTGTCAATTCTAAAGGCATGAGCATGTGATTTCCCGTCAAGTTTTCGCGCATAAAACAATCGATAATAATCTACCACGCTAACTCTCTTGAATTTTGCTGGGGTTTGAGGAGTGATAAGACTATTTGCTGGACCTAACTCACCATCCAACTTTGGGCTGTGAAATGTTGCAATAGATATCCTCTCTTTCTCTCGATTTACAACTCCACGATGCTCAATGCTGGGATAAATTCCATTTGTAAAGATCTGCAAGATTCACTTAATTAATCACTTTATAATTATTAAAAAAAACTGTACTAATTAGATAGTATATGTTTGAGAGTTTAATTATATGAAAAGTCTCGAGTTAAATTCACATCCCCTACCATTGTATCTAAAAGAAAAACAAAAGAGCCACACGGGCTTAACTCACTGATTTAGTAGTCAGTATTTGGGAGAAGAGACAAATGTTCGAACCTCGACAGTAGCTATGCCTAAAAGTGGGCAGAATGCCCAAAGTCGGAAGTATGAGAATTATGCCTAAAGTGGACAGAATGCCCAAAGTGGGTAGATCTCTTGTGCCCATCGGCATTGGGCCCTGTTTGCTGAGCCATTGAGCCATCATGATTTACATCCTCCCCAATGTTTTGTCGGACAGGGTGTGGGAGGCCCGAGCCATTGAGTCATCGTGATTTACATTCTCTCAAATGTTTTCTCGAGTCGAGGCGTGGGAGGCATTTGGGGTTTGGGATTCAACCTTTGGGAGAAATGAAAAACAAAAGATAAATTTAATTACCTCCACACAATCCCCAACATTGACAATGAAAGAATTAGGAATTGGCACAATGGGAATCCATTTTCCATCTTTTTTAATCTCAAGGCCTTGTGTTTCATTTGCTTGCAGAAGTATGGTTAGACCAACAGCATCAGAGTGAGGACTAAGGCCCATAACATGTTCTGCATGAGGACATGGTGGATAATAATTCATCCTAATAGACTGCTTCCCATCTTCAAAAAGCAAACTCATTTCTTCAGCTTGTATTCCCAAATTTTTTGCCAAAAGGCTCAGAATCTTCATGGCAAGCTTGTTCACTTCAAGGGAGTAGGCTTCCATAGTATCCCTGTAATGTACAAAATGTAACACAAACACAAGAAAATTTGTTTTATTTGTAAAAGCTTAGGTGATTTAATTACCTGAAGCTCTTTGACATATTAGAAAAAAGGCGAGATGATCTCATTTGGAGTGGCAGGGTTTGAATGTAAAACATATCTGCCCAGTCAAGTTTCTGTTCTTCGGATACAACGAAGGCTTGGCCGTATCCCTCTACTTCACCTTCCACCTGCCCATACTTGTTCTTCTTTACCTCCAATGGCAGATTGAAGAAGTCTAGGACCTCACGTTTGGCATTCTCCACCAGTGAAGAGTCCATTCCATGATTTGTCAGCTGCAATTCAGTTCAATCAATCCCTTTCAATTTTAGATTTTGCTATTTTGTTAACTAATTATAAAACTGTTGGGCAGAGACAGGTAAAGGCCAAAGTCTAGCAACTGATGGCTGGAGGATTGCTTGACGGAAGCCGATAAAGGGCTTAAAAGGCTAAGTACAGCACCCAGCGTCACTGCGTCAGTCTAGTACCTGACTGGGTATTGTTAAGGCTAGCACTTAATGGCTGGGGGATTATTGGATGGAGGTTGATAATTGGCTTAAAAGGCCAAATCTAGCACCCAACGTCTAAAAAATCTGATGGTGGTCTATAAGAAAATAAAATTATGCCTTCGCTACTAGCTATAACTTTTGAATGACAATAGTAGTGGTATTAGAGTCATGACACGGGTTTGAGTCCCAGCAATAATATTTATGCCTGGTTGGTATTGGGTGAGAGGAATAAGGAAGAATTGTTGGGCAGAGGCCCGTAAAGGCCAAGCCCAACACCTGTGGATTTAAAATGCACAAGGGGTTGTTATTACATGAAAGAAACCCCAATCTTTGCAGGCAAAGTGTAACTTGCAAAGTTCCGACTCTCCAGAATCCTCAAACAGTAATTTTTGCATGTCGATCACCGGGACATCGGCGCCGGAAAAAGGCTCGGCTAATGCCGGAGGTTCAATATCGTCGCGTATATAACGGCTTGGAAGCACGGCCAGGTTCTCCTCTGCGAGCTGCTTGACGCTAGGCACAGGGAGAGAGGCACCAAGGCTCTTCGCATCAGTTTCCACCATGGGCGCCATCAATGTAGATCTTCTTATTACTTTGCGGATATTACTGTACTGTCTCTGTTTCAATAAGGTGATCAGAAGTTGATGTTTTTGGCCAACTTATAAACTGTATGGATAAGGGATGGCAGCAGCAAATATAGAAAATACTCAATAGAGAATGTTGGATTCCATAACATGCTATTATGTCAGGTGTATAATGATTTCGATACCATATTTGGATATATATTAGTTGTAATATGATGTGTCTTTAATTGGATAAATAATTACTCCAATGCCAGAATTGGATATTAGCTGTCATAGCACCAGTAATTGAATAATAATCACTCCAATACCATAATTGCATACCATAAAATTATAGGTACCAAAACTTTTTATCAAAAGTATTCGCCATATGAAGTGATAATAACACTCCGAGTATTCGCTATTTGAGTTAATAACATCTAGGTCCTCCGAGTATATAGTAGTTTTGTCAGATTTAGTCTTAAAATTTTAAAATGACACCCTATGGTTCTTTGACTTTCAAATTGTTACCATCTATAGTCCAAGTTAACCATTCATTGTCCTTCAACTATCAAATTTTAACCAGTCGTGGTCCTTATAATTAAGAGAGTTACGGTTGGTTAAATTTTGAAAGTTGAAGGATAATGGGTGGTTACTTGGACCACCCTACGAAGGGTAACAATTTGAAAGTCGAAGGATCACAGGTGGTCAATTTGAAAGTTTAGGATTAAACGTGACAAAAACCACAGTACTTGGAAGACCTCATATGTCGTTAATTCAACACTATTTTTATCAACTGATTACCTTAAATTGGCTACCACACCTTGCATTGAGAAATGAATTTATTTATTGATCAAATAGAAATACACAATAGATTAGGGGTGTAAATGAGCCGAGCGGCTCGCGAGCGGTTTGCGGGCCGCTCGGTCAAAGCTCGACTCGAGCTTTGTCAAAATCGGGTTCGAGCCGAACACGAGCGGCTCGTTTATTAAATGAGCCGAACTCGAGCTAAAATATTCTAGGTTCGTTGCTCGTCAAGCCACTTGCGAGCCATAATTAAATAAATAGATAAATATTATATATATGGTAAGGATCAATGACTACTATTGACTTGTAATTAAAGTGGAGTTGTAAACTTGTTTTGAGTGTTTGGAGTCTTTAAAAATTGAAGTTTGGACTTTTGAATTTTTTAAAGTTTTTATTATTTATGTATGGATAAAACAATGTTTATTATTAATTGAAATATGAATTCACATAGGTCAAAATCGAGCCCGTGCTGGAACAATCGAGCAGCTAGAAAAATTGTCGAGCTGAGCTCGAGCATCATTTTTTGAGCTCGATTGAGCTCGAGCCGAACCATGCCTATCGAGCTCCAGCTCAAGCCAACCTATGCTCGAGCTCGGCTCGGCTCGTTTACACCCCTACAATAGATGTGTCCTTATTTGGATAAATAACGACTTTGAAGCCAAGATTTGATACCATAACAGGCTATTATATATTGAAATAAGTGTCAAATAGATCATCGAATTACACAACAAAAAGAAATTAGGCCATTGAATTCAAAAAAATATGCAATTGGATCGCTAAACTAATCAATCTCATGTAATTAGTCTAATTTGTAGGTTTTTTAAGTTACTAACCGGTCACTCCAAATTTAAAATATTTTTTAAAAAATTATTTAAAACTAATTATTTAAAATTAAAATTAGAAAAAAAGTGGGAGACGAATAACTTCTTCGTCTCTGGCCAGAAATGAAGAAGCCCATCTTTGTCTCTGGCCGGGGACGAAGAAGCTGACGGAGAAACCATCTTCGTCTCTGGTCGGAGACGAAGAGTCACTTCATCTCTTTGGAGAGAAGAAACCTTAGCTTCTTCGTCTCCGGCAGCGACGTTTTTTTTTTTTTAACTTTTAAATAATTATTTTTAAAAAATATTTTAAATTTGGATGACCTGTTAGAAATCTGGAAAACCTGTAAATTGGACTAATTATATTAAATTGGTTAATTTAGATACCTAATTTGAATGTTTTTTGAGTTCCATAACTTAATTGCATTTTGGTGTATACTTCGATGGCCTATTTGACCCCTATGCCTTATATATTAGGTGTATAATTATTTCGATACAATAGTTGGATATATATTAGTTGTCATATGATGTATCTTTAATTGGATAAATTATCACTTCGAAGACAATTGGATTAGTTGTCATAGCACCCGTAATGGAAATTAATCACTCCAATATCAGGGATCGAGTGTCACCAACGGCAGTGAGGGGGTTCCTTGTGCGCAGTGAGCAAATGTCTAGCCTCTGTGGTTCATGTTCAGTTGAGTTACCATGATTTACATCCTCCCAAATGCTCTGTCGAGTTGGAATTTGGGTTCTTTTGAAAGAATTAATCACTCCAATACCATAATTCCATACGATAAAGTTATAGGCACCTTATCAAAACTATTCACTAAATTAAGTGATAAACTGATAATAAAACTATTTTTATCCACAGGTTACCCTAAATTGGGCACTACACCTTGCATTAACAAATGAATTTATTATTATTATTGAATACAATGAATTTATTATTAATCAAATACAAAATACTCAATAGATGTGTCTTTAATTGAATAAATAACCACCCTGAGTCCAAGATTGGATACCGTATGTGGGGATCGAAACGAAAAGATTTGTTCGTTCATCAAATCCAAAAGCATGGTAACTACACGATAAAACATGCAAACCGACCGACTAGTTAGAGATCTGCGATGAACCCTTAGTCTACCCACCTCTTGCATACCGTCTAGACTGTCAGTGCCCTCGAAAAAGGAGGCCAATCTGGAAAATCCTCGAGAAGATGAGGAGGTTCATTCCAGCAAACACCCACCGGTCATCGGCGTCCCACTAACCCAGCCGGTCGAACTCCCACCCAATGTAATGGAGGTCGTTGAACACCAACTTGAAGTCCTGCAACGTGGTTGTACAACAAGGGACGAATCTGTACTGGACCCCTCTCGAATACACCACGTAATTGGAATAGCCAATGTAAATTAATTACTCGAGATAATGCAGGGATCAGCCCCACTGAGAGCACACCGCCATGCCATCTCAGTTCTCGACTGCATAAGACCCCCAAAACAACAGTCCCCCGTCCCATAGTCCGAACGAGATAACCCCACGGTAGAGAGTCATCGGCGAAGAACCAGACCCAACCCTCAGTGGCGAGTCGAGGCCGCCTAGATAGCTGGTATCCCCGCGAGGGGACTACAAGCTGAGGAGCGCAATAAAGAAGGAATTTCAAGAGGCATGCTAGAAAGCAGTGGTGAAACCCCAAATCTCAGTCGGTGAAATTGAAACCAAAAGGTAGTCGAACTCACCAAAGAAGTAAGAGACCTCTAAAGGAAAATCAAGGTTAGAAAAGACAGACCAACTGCTCAGTCTTTGTTATCTGTCAACCCATTCTCCATAGCTATCCCAGAATACCGCGCACCGAGAGACTTTAAGTGCCTAACGATGCCTACATACGATGGACAGATGATCCCAGTTACCACTTGGTCGGCTTTAGGCAAACATGAAAGTTGTAACACCCCCAATTTTCGAAATAATTTAAAACAATTAAAGCTTATGAAATAAGGATAAAGCTATCATTAATACCAAAACGGAGCGGAAGCTAAACATAAGTGTTGGGGTGCTATGCCACATCTAAGCTTGAGAACCTAGATGCATAGGCTAAAACTAACTAAACAATGCATAAACCATAATCATTATCCAAATACAAGCATGGCTCACAGACCGTCTAACTAAACTATAACTAATTAAGCTAGGAACCGCAACTCCTTCTAGCGCGCTCTCGGCCAACTAATCAGTACTTGAAAAACATGCGGTATCACAACCATTAGCGAATAATGTTAAGCAACCCACTCCCACGCGTTGAGTACCATACGTATAGATATAAGAAAACCATTTTGAGACTTGGGAATACATAATATAGTCCTAAACGACTCTAGCTTTAAAACCAGGAATAAGGCTCAAGGCACATCAATAGACATGGCAAGGCACGTAAAGACACAACATGCAACTAAGACCACAAAACACTACGACAATAAGACTCGATAACAACAAATGACACAAACACGTGCAAGTTCCAACCTTATGCCAAGTTTAGTGCATGGCACTTTCCAAGCGTCCGTCATCTCCGCCTAATCCGCCGAAACAATCTTAATATCAATCCAATAAACATCAATTCCAACGCCATTAGACAAGGCAAGGGTTTTATACCACTCGTAGGGTTTTAACAAGGGTTCTCAAAAGGGAGGGATACAAAATTAGAGCATTGGCAATGAGTCCAAGCTCATAACAATTTAAGGTTTCCAAGGATTCAAGGTAGGGGTTTCAACAAATAGGGACATCAAGAGGCTGAGATACAAGGGCGAATGATATTTCAAATTGAGGCGAAGGGTTCACAAGACATCACGACATACTCAACTTGCACCAAGGATTTAACCAACAGCGTTGTTCATCCGCTACTTCACTTTCTTGCGTCATTAGGAGTCCTATTTCTCCTACCTTTTTGTCGTAGCTGTAGCCTTTAGCAACCTGAGGCAAGGCAACTTACCAAGGGATGCACTCCATTCGGTTACGGAGGCAACTTAACTACTTACACCCTTACCTGGTGCTTTAACTAAAAGAACTAAAAAGCTAAACAAAGAGAAAGCATAGGAAAACTTAACAGAAAGTGGTAAATAAACTCACGACCTCACTGCGCGTCCTAAGATTCCTAAGTCGTAAGTACTAAAACACCTAGAATTTCCAAGCTTAACATCTTAAAGTCTTATCCTAAAGGCATTATCATAAGGTCGAACTTAGGCTCTAATACCAATTGTAACACCCCCAATTTTCGGCATAATTTAAAACCATTAAAGCTTATGAAATAAGGATAAAGCTATCATTAATACCCAAAACGGAGCGGAAGCTAAACATAAGTGTTGGGGTGCTATGCCACATCTAAGCTTGAGAACCTAGATGCACAGGCTAAAACTAACTAAACAAGGCATAAACCATAA